TGGCAACATGCACAGAGAGGGCACCTGTGTTGGTTTGGGTCCTCTAAGAAGGCAGCCACCAAGACAGGATTAGCTACCTATGAGATTTATTGAGGGGAAATGGGAAGGAGCTGGAGGAGGCTGGGAGAGCGTTCAGATGGTTGCTGCCTGTGTAGGAGAGAAGGAAGGAGGAAGGGATAGGCAGGAAGACTTTCAGGCCACACCACAGTACCAGGAAGTTCTGGCAAGGCCAGTGGGGAGTCCTGGAGCCAGTCACCTGTCAGAGGCGCTGCCTGTTGCAGCAAAAGGCCAGCCTCACACCCCTGTGTGCTCAGTCCTTGGCAGAACAGCAGCGCTGTCCTCACGCCAGAGCAGTGGTGCATTCAGAGCACAGCAGCTGGGGCTGTCTTCAATTAAGCTCCTCAAAGCCCCACAGTGCCTGAAAAGATCAATCTTTTTTTTTTTTTTTTTTGAGACAGAGTCTCACTTTTGTTGCCTGGGCTAGAGTGCCATGGCGTCAGCTTAGCTTGCAGCAACCTCAAACTCCTGGGCTCAAGCGAACCTACTGCCTCAGCCTCCTGAGTAGCTGGGACTACAGGCATGCACCACCATGCCTGGGTGATTTTATATATATATATATGTTTAGTTGGCCAATTAATTTCTATTTATAGTAGAGATGGGGTCTCACTCTTGCTCAGGCTGGTTTTGAACTCCTGACCTCAAGCAATCCACCAGCCTCGGCCTCCCAGAGTGCTAGGATTATAGGTGTGAGCCACCGCGCCTGGCTGAGACCGATCTTTATTACCCTTCATCTAAAGCATCTGCATGCATATAGAGAGATGCTAAACTTATGACCGGTAACAATTTTACCAATAGCAATACTCATAGTATTTACCATTTATAAATATAAAAGCTCTTTTATGTGCCAGGCACTGCACTAAATCACTTGCATGCATCAATCATTAAACAACCCTATGAGGCAGCTATTACAATTAGCTCATTTTAGGGAGAGGGACTTTTATGGGCTGAACTGTGTCCCTCCCCCCACAAATTCATATGTTGCAGTTATAACTCTCAGCATCTCAGAATTTGGAGATAGGATCTTTAAAGAGGTAAACAAGGTTAAATGAAGCCCTTAGGGTGGGTCCTATTCTGACTGATGTCCTTCTAAGAAAAAAAACTTTGGACACAGAGATACGTAGAAGAAAGAATATGTGAAGACACAGGGAGGGAGAAGACAGCCATCCACAAGCCAAGGAGAGAGGCCTCAGAAGAAACCAAAGCTCGCTGACCCCTGGATCTTGGATTTCTGGCTCTAGCATTGTAGGAAAATAGATTTCCATTTTTTAAGCCACCCAATCTGTGGTACTTTGTTATAGCAGCCTTAGCAGACTCATATAAAGATATTATGGCTTCCAGTGGTCAAGTTAGCCAAAGTCACAGAGCCAGCAGTGGGAGGGACAGTACACTGGGCTCCTCTCAGTCCAGAGTCCATTCTCTCCAATCCTCTCCTTTCCTGGGCCTACCTGGCTGGGCAAAGGCTACAAAGTAACAGACACAGATGACAAAGTGAATCAGGTAGGTCACGAGATAGAGCACAGCCTGGCATGGTGGGAAATGCACTTGAAAGGGGCCCAGGACACCCGATGACAAAGAAGCAGGTTTCACATCTCCCTCTACCCGCTGCTGGCTGTGACATCTTGGCCAATCCACTCTTGCTTTCTGAACTGCAGTTGTATTTTGTGTCAAATGGGAGTATTAGATTTCCTATGTCCCACTGAACTGTGCTAATAATCGAATAAGATAATTATATGAAATTGTAGAAAGTGGGAAGGGCAGAGGGAAAGAACTGAATTTGTTTCTTACAAATATTAGTGTGGTTGTTACATATTAGCCCTGTTTTAGCTAACACTAATAATACTATCATAATAATGTGTTAATATTAGAGCATCAGTTTTCAAGGCTGTTCAAATTATATATGTTTTAGTGCCAGAAATGCATGGAGATAACAGATTATAAAGTCCTATCATCCAAATGACTCTCAGAGCTGGTGGCATCAATGTTCCATCTGGCAGCATGGACTCATTAAATGATTGCAAGAATTAATGTAGTTAAAATAGCTGGCATAGACTGAATTTATATTATGCGTCAAATTTGGTTCTAAATGACCTAAATATAATAATTCATTTGTGGCAATCTTAAGAACAACCACATGAAGAAGTGACTATTATTCCTAACTTATAGAAGGAGAAACTGATGCCCAGAGAGGTTAAGTAAGTAGGCAAAAGTCACACAGGTAAGTAAGTGGAAGAGTTAACATTCAAATCTAGGCATATTGGTTCCTGGATTGGACATAGACTGGAGAAGAAATGAAGCATCCAGGATAGCTTCAAGATGTTTGCCAGAGCACCAAAGTAACAAAATTGTCATTACTTGGGATAGGAAAGATTTTAGGAATTAATTTTTTTAGGGGAACTCAGTTTGGACACGTTAAGTTTGAGATGCCTATTATATGTCCAAAGAGATGTTAAATAACTCTGGTTATGAACATTGGAATCTGTCAGCATATACCTGATATCTAAAGCCCAGAGACTAGATTAGATCACCCAGGGCATACATAGACAGTGGGAGACCCCATAACTGAGTCCTGGGCATTCCAGTGTTTATAGGGCCAAGAAATAAGGAATCAGAGTAAGAGACAAAACAGAAGAAGTGGTCAGAGAATTAGGAAGAACCAAGTGAGCGTGATTTCCTGGAAGACAATAAAATGGCCAAGGAAGAGAGAATGCCATTGTGTTGATTGGATCAGATAAGGATTGAAAATGACCCTTGGACTGAGCTATATGGACAACATTAAGAGCTTTAAGAAGAGTGGCTTTGGTGGACGGGTTTGGGATTCCTGGACCAGGAAAGAATGAGAGGAAAGGACTTGAAGACAGTAATTTCAGACTTTTTCTTTTTCTTTTTTTTTTTTTTTGAGACAGAGTCTCACTCTGTTGCCTGGGCTAGAGTGCTGTGGCATCAGCCTAGCTCACAGCAACCTCAAACTCCTGGGCTCAAGCGATCCTCCTGCCTCAGCCTCCCGAGTAGCTGGGACTACAGGCATGCGCCACTATGCCCAGCTAATTTGTTTTTCTATGTATTTTTAGTTGGCCAATTAATTTCCTTCTAGTTTTAATAGAGATGGGGTCTCGCTTTTGCTCAGGCTGGTCTCGAACTCCTGACCTTGAGCGATCCACCTGTCTCAGCTTCCCAGAGTGCTAGGATTGCAGGCGTGAGGCACTGTGCCAGGCCCAGACTTTTTTCTTTAAAAAAGAAGATGAGAAATAGGAGGACAGCTGAAGGAGAAAGAATTTTTATTTTAAATGTTAAACAGCAGAAATAAAAGCAATTTGTAAACAATAAGGATGATCAAATAGAGAGGAGAAAATAATTGGTGAGGTATGGGATGGGGATTTCTGGAGCAATATTCATGAGTAGATGCAAGGGGCTGAGATTTAGTGTCCAGGAAGAGCAGTTTTTCTCAGCAAGAAGCAAGGACAACTGCAGATGAAAAGGCAGAATACATCAGTATAAATGCAGGCAGGCAGGCAGGCAGGCAGGCAGGCAGGCAGGCAGGCAGGCAGGTAGGTGGTGGGAGACGGTTGGAGTGCTTTTCTGATTAATGTTCTGGTGCATTTACTAAACTTCCACTCTGAGCTCACAAGTTGAAATTGAAAGCTCCTTCCTGTGTTTTACCATTGCTCTTCACTTTGATTACAACAAAACCTGCCTTACCCAGTAATTACAGCTGCTTCTGTATGTGTCTTTCTTCCCCGCCAGCCTGAGAGCCGGAGGAGGGCAGAGAGCACGTCACATTCGTTATTGTTCCCCAATACTTAGCACAGTACCTAAAACAGTAGACAGTCAATAAAAATGTCTGATGAGGGGGGAAGGGAGGGGTGGGTGGGAAAAAAATAAAAATAAATAAATGTCTGATGAACCGAATTGAATCCAGCACATTTGTTTCTCTGCACATGCAGCTTGAAACCTGATTTTGCCTGACTTAGAAGAACCTGTCATGATTATCTTCTGTATGGACTGGTGGGCAAAGGATTTATGTTTCAGTCTTACTATTCTGTTAACTGTTGTGCTAGCTATTTATTATTGAATTTAATAATTATGAAAACTTGTATGCTTTTCTTATTCTTGCAAAGATTTGGACTTTAATTGGGCCATGGCAGCATCCTCAAAGGGTTCTGATATGTGAAAGGATACAGACAGCTCCTTTGATAATTGACAGAAAGTGTTCAGTTTGCCCTGTTATTTGTGTGTGCTTTTTAAAGAAGAGGGTAAATTCATTGTAATGAACATGCCATAATTGAAGTCAGGGAAAAATTCTACTATTTGGATAAAAAGTGCCAGAGAATCACTTCCTTAGAACCACCACCTAAGGAAGAAAGGATACACAACCAACTGGGTGTGGTGTGATAGAAAATGTACCTTCTTATCTCCACTTAGCATTTTATTAAGGCTTAGAAGAAAAGGAACAAAGAAAAGAATCTGCAAATGGACTCATTTTCTCCTGTGTATCTTTTTAGCAAGCTTCAAGTGACATTAAAATTAAGGTCAAGTGTTGGCCAGGTCACATGATGTGGATGAAGTCTATCAATACTCTTTCAGCGAGAAATTCAGCACAGTATATTGTTAAGGATGCAAACTCTAAACGTGGACTTGCATACCACCTCCAATGACTTAGTTTCCTTCTCTATAAAGTGGCACGATAGCACTTTCTACTTCAGGGGTTGTTATGAGATTTAAATGATTTAATGCCTATAAAAGTCCCCCACAATATCCAGGATATCAGCAGTTTTAGCCATTATAAGTTACTTTAATAATAATAGTAATAATAATAATAATTTGAAAAATATAAGCTGCATCCATTTTTCACTTTTGAGTTTTCCTTTTTTTTATTATCTAGTACATTTTCTTTTTTCCCTAATCCTGGCTTTTATTGTCTGCCCATTCTTTTTGCAATGTAGAAAAATTGATGGGACTAATGAGGAAGAAGATAACATCGAGCTGAATGAAGAAGGCAGGCCGGTGCAATCGTCCAGGCCGAGCCCCCCACTTTGTGACTGCCGCTGCTGTGGCCTCCCCAAGCGCTACATCATTGCCATCATGAGCGGCCTGGGATTCTGCATTTCCTTTGGGATTCGGTGCAATCTCGGAGTTGCCATCGTGGAAATGGTCAACAACAGCACTGTATATATTGATGGAAAGCCGGAAATTCAGGTTGGTATCAATGTACGGTGGGAGCATTTTTGACTGCAGCTGCGTAAATATTAATACTTTGCTACATGAAAGAAAGCACTGCAGTTCATTCAGTGATGTGACAAAAGTTTACCGAGTGGCTACTGTGCAAAGTGATGGGGAGGAGACGGTGAACAACCTAGTCTGGGCCCTTGTCCTCGTGAGACGAGGAAGTGACGGCAGTTTGGGGTTGTGAGTGCTGTGCTGGGGTGTGCAGGATGCTTGGGCTCATACAGGAGAGGGCTTAACCGAGGCTTTGATACTATGAAAGAATTCCCAGAGATAGTGATGGCTGGACCAGACAAAGAGAGTTTTGGTGGGGTAGGAAGAGAATGTTTGAAGAAAGAGGAACATCCTACGTGAAAGAAAGTAAAGAGAAAAAGGGATCGCGCAGGTGTGCTAAAGTGCGCATGTGTGAAAAGAGCGTGCGCATGCGCCCAAGTACACGCATGCGCACACTGTTAAAAACTGAGATGGGAACTCTTCACCTTTTCTGTGCCTTGAGTCCCTTATGTGTACTAATAAATCCTTTGTCAAAATAGTTTTAAATTCTTAAACTAAAACACAAAGGATTATAAAGAAAGCCAATTATATTAAAATACAGATATCAAAATATTTAAAAATCAAATGTGTGATATAGAAACATACGGGCTTCTTTATTTACAAATCAGATGACAACATCACTGGGTCTAAAAGTTACTATAATTTTAAGTTTGAAGTGTAAACAATTGTTTCAGATTGTAGCAGTGCTTGAACGTTTACAATTTCCACTAGTGACAGACAGAGTCACAGGTACGGGTGATACTACTGTGGCCTGTTGTCTACATTTATAATTGCAGAAAATGCTAAATTTCAGTTAAGTAAGTGAAAATAAAGATGTAAATTTTTCCCCATCCAAGTTCACAGAGCCACCGGATTCCATCCACAGACTCCAGGTTGGGAACTGTATGCAGCAAAGTAAATAGGGGCTGGATCTTATAAGGCCTGGAAAACCACAGAGGGCATCCTGGATGGGATTTAAGCAGAGAGGTGATCAAATCTGCACTCTAGAATGATCACTGCCCAACAGGAAGGGGCCAGATTAAAGTGAGGTTAGAGTGGAGGCTGCAGGCTCAGTCCAGAGGCTGTTATAGTTATAAGCAAGCATGCTCTGATGTGACTTATATGGTATTGTTTTAGGAATCGCTGGAAAAATAAAATCTGTTTTTTTTTTTTCTTACATGGTAGGCTTAGAAAAGTAATGAGGTTATGGGGGGGGTAAACAAAAGTGTATGCCCAGTGGACACCCCATAAATACCTGTTTCATTGAACTGAACACACACACTGAAATGACTTGTGCATAAATCATTCATTTGCAAAGAGGCATCTACTATTAATAGTTCCCTGTCCCTGCCTCTGTTTGAAGAAACCTTTGGATCAGAGTTTCCCAAACTGGTGCCTGGGAAATCACCACTCTGCAGGCCATGCTATGAAGAAGGTGTTGCATGACGCGGAGCCTCAGGGATGCTCTGGGAGGGGACGTGGTGTGCATTATTTCTTGGACTGACTTGATCCCAGAATGCTCCGTTTCACGCCACATCTATTAGCATCACTGGGAACAGTCTCCTGCCAAGCCCTGCTTTGGGAAAATTTGATTTCAATCCATTACAAAGAATTCTTTAGTTGGCCAGCAGTCTAATTTTTTTCTTTTTAACTAAGAGATTATTCTGCCAGTGGAAAATAGCACCTTGGAGATCCTTCTAACTAGTCTCTTTCTGATGCCACAGCAGAATCTATCCTAAAAGGATATCCGGTCTTTTCTTGGGGTGGGATGGGGGGATAGAGATGGAGGGGCATATCATGCATTTTAAAAATAAAGACTGATGTATATTAGCAAGGTTTCAGATGTGTATCACATGTATTCTTTCAGCCTTTTGTGAGCAAGGCCAGCTAATTAAAACTTGTCTGCTGAGGCCCAGATCCAAATGAGATGCTGTTTTGCATTTGTTTGTTGCTTGAAAAGACAGGACTAGGTCAATAGAGTTTGCTTTGAGGTATATGGAAAAGACGTTTTGATAAACCCAAGGAACAATACTAGTGTGTGCTTTCTAGTTTCTATGGTACTGCCTTCTGGAGTCTTAGAGACACTGATTAAGATCTAAAATATGCTTTATATCATTTTCTCTGGCCTTGAAAGTAGGGGTTTAGTAGCATTTCAGGAGCTCTAGCACAACTTCAATTTATAGCTGGCTATTTCTCCCTTGTTCAAATACAACAAAGTTTAGACATCAGCTGAGCATGTTTAACTGGATGACAAAAATTTCACTAATTGTATTAAGAAAGGCTCTGAATGGCTGGTATTTTTGTTTGTTGGGTTTTTCTGTTTGTTTGTTTTATGAGGAAAAACTAGATATTTTACACTGAGATATTATTATACCCTCATTTTCAAAAGAGGCAGAGAAGTAAGCAGGATGAATAGGTGGGTCTTTCAAATATGTGGCATATGTTCTACATGTGGTATGAAGGGTGAAATTTTAGCTGATATGTGAATAATCATTTTTTAGTTTAATAGTTATGAGTTAAAACATGTGAAGCACTGAGAAAAATGTGTGGCAGGTGGGAAGCAAAAAAAAAAAAAAAAAAGAAAAAAGAAAAAACACCTGACTGAAGTTTGAGAAACCTTGCTAGTTTTTTCTCTTTATCCTCAGAAAAAGTTAAAAGTCCTTCCCCTGGATCCTGGGCCCTGGAGGGTTAAGTGGATGGGTGTTGGAACTGGCTAAACCTGGTTTTCAACTTGATTCTGCCATTGATTAGCTCTGGGACCTTGTGTCCTGGTCAGGGATTGCTGGTTGCAAAGAAGAGAAATACAGTGAAACCAGCTCAGGTTAAAAGGGGATTATTGTAAGGCTGTAGGAAGATTTCATGAGAGTGAAGTGGAGAGAGCAGATCTGTGGTGTATGTTTGTGCAGCCTGCGCTCTGGACAGGGGGACCCAGCCTGAGGCGGGCTGGAAACCCAGGCTGTACTCCACTGTGGGGAGGGAAAGGTGTCTTTACGTAATTCTTTCCCATGTGGGAGCAAAGGCCCTGCCAGGAAGTGCACAGTGGAGCTTTACCTCAAGAGAACTAGATGCATCCCTGCAGGGTCTTTCATCTGCTTCTCTCTGAGTCGGCTCCATTTTCCCAAGTCTCTCATGGACTGCTTTCTTTTCTTTTCTTCCCTTCCCCATGGCTTCTCACTGCTCTCCAAAGTTGAAGTTCCTTGAGCCTTTGCCTCGCCAGGGAGCCATGCACTTCGTGGCTCCATGGGCTTGTTTCAGTTCAATGTCCGCTGTTGTCTAACTAGATCCTCAGAGTGTGGGTTGCTCTTTCTCTGTGTGTGTGTGTGTGTGTGTGTGTGAGAGAGAGAGAGAGAGAGGAGAGAGACAGAGAGACAGAGAGACAGAGACAGAGACAGACAGAGAGAGAGAGAGAGAGACTGAGGGAGGGAGGGGATGACTGGGTGAGTCTAGCCATGGCTTGGCCCTCTCTCTTCAGGTGTCCTGTGAGCTGTGGTGCTCAGCAGGGGAGAGTCCTATGGAGGGGAAGGTGGGATCCCCTGAGAAAGAAATGTGAGCAGGGAGACAGAAACCAGCATTTCGAGCAATTCTTTGTTAACCCTTGGTGCCCTTATTGCAAAATGGGAATATAAGGACTGCTTTGAAGATCAAATGAGATAATTTATTTTAAGTACTTATATTAGATTCCTAAGCCTGCCAGAACAAATTACCACAAACTTGATGGCTTAAAACAACAGACATTTTTTCTCTCACAGTTGTGGAGACCAGAATTCCACAATCGTGGTGTCGGCAGGGGCTTGCTCCCTCTGAAGGCTGGAGCAGAGCATCTTTCCTTGACTCTTTCAGCTTCTGGTGGCCCCAGGAGCTCCTTGGTGACAACATCACCCTAATTCCTGCCTCCATCTTCATGTGACCGTTTTCTCTCTGCATGTCTCCTCTCCTGACTCAAGTATCCTGTAGCCTTTCTCATTTAAGGACACTTGTCATTGGGTTTAGGGCCCACCTGCATGATCTGGGATATCTCCAGTCAAGATCCTTGACTTTTTCACGTCTGCGAAGACCCATTTTCCAAATCAGGTATCATTTGGAGGTTCCAGGGATTTGCTGTGGATATCTTTTGCGGCCATTTTTCAGCCTATTACAATATCTGACACAGTGCTTGGCTAATTATAGTAATAGTTCATACATGGAGCCCTTAGGATTTTTTGTTTTGTTTTTAATTTTTAAAAATTTTATTATGATAAAATGCTTAACATAAGAGCTACCCTCTTAATAAAATTTTAAGTGTATAATAGATTATTATTGACTGTAAGTACAGTGTTGAACAGCAGATCTCTAGAGTTTATTCATCAAGTTTGACTTTATGCCCATTAATGATAACTCTCCATTTCCCCTCCCACCAGCCCCTGACAACCACCATTGCACTCTTTAATTCTACAAGTTTGACTATTTTAGATACTTCACGTAGGTGGAATCATGTAGTATTTGTCTTTCAGTGACTGGGTTTTTTCACTGAGCATAATATTCTTTAGGGTCTTCCAACAGGATTATAGAATTTCCTTCTTCTTAAAGACTGAAGAGTAGTCCATCATATATATGTATATACCACATTTTCTTTGCATATTCATCTGCCACTGGACAGTCAGGTTGTTTCCATATCTTGGTTATTGTGAATAATGCTTCAGTGAACATGGGAGTACTGATATCTCTTTGAGATTTTGCTTTCAATTGTTTTTGATAAATACCCAGAAATGGGATTGCTGAACCATAAAATAGTTCTATTTTTAATTTTTTGAGGAATCCCCTCACTGTTTTCCATAGTGGTTGCACCATTCTATACTTCCACCAGCAGTGGAAAAGTGTTCCAGTTTCTCCACATTCTTATCAATACTTGTCTTTTTATTTATTTTTTTTATAATGGCCATCATAACAGGTGTGAGGTGGTATCTCATTGTGGTTTTTGTTTGCATTTCTCTGATGGTTACTGAACTTGAGCATCTTCATACAGCTGTTGGCCATTCGTTTGTCTTTGGAGAAATGTCTATTCAGGTCCTTAGTCTAACAACTGATGATGAAAGCCAGCTCTTAGCAGGCCTATGTACTCTGCCTCAGGTGTCATTTCTTTCAGAGAATGGCAGATGCCCCATCCCTTCAGAAAGAAAGGCATGACAAAGAGACAATGTGATTGATGGTCTATAGCTGGATCAACTATGATATAGAGAAAGGTTCCAGTTCTCCCCCTCCCTTGGATCCTTAGGTTATTCTGTGGCTCAGGACAAAGAGGTCTAGTCTCTCTTTAGTGAGAAAACAAAATCTCTAAAGCAGTGAAAAAAATCTAGTATTTTGGTGTCAGGCAGATGAAAAGGTTTGCTCTCCACTCTTCTTGCAACTAGTTCTATGACCTTGGGTAAGTCAATTAATGTCTCTAAGCCTCACTTTCCTCATTTGTGAAAAAACCCAAAAAAACCTAATAATCATTACCAAAAAAAATCATACCCCCAAAAACCTAATAATCAAAATTAAAGGAGGAAATATATAGAAAGGGCCTTAATGAAATCATGTCCCTCCTCTGCTCAAATCTTCCATCTTTCTTTGAGTAAAAGCCAAGGTCCTTATGATGACTTAAAGAGCCCTTCATCATTTGAACCTCTTTTACTTTACTCCTGTTCTCCTCCCCCTCGCTCATTGCCCTCCAGCTATACTGACATCCTGCTGTTCGTCTAGTACACAAGACACATCTCTACCTCAGGGCCTTTGCACTTGCTGTTTTTCTGCCTGGAAAACTCTCCTCTCAGATAACCACATGACTGGCTCCCTTCCTTCCTTTAGGTCTTTACTCAAGCATCACCTTCTCAGTGAAGCTTTTACTGGAAATTCTACCTAAAATTTCATCCTACCTCACTTCCACCCAAAAACTTCACATCCCTTTCTCTGCTGTATTTTTTTTTCTCTTTGCTTGCCACCATCTCACTCGGAAGGTCCTTGTTTAATTGTCTGCTGACTCCACTGGCATCTTCACAAAGGCACGAGTAAATAAATGACTGTGGGTGTTCATTGCTGTGTCCCCAGTGCCTAGATCAATGAGTGGCACATAGTAGGCACAAAACACAATCCAGTGAGCTGATTTGAATTAGATTGTTAGTTCCTTTTTACTCTTGTGCTTCAACTTCCTAATCTGTATAATGAGACATATAGAGGAACATATAAATCAACATTACCTGGTCTGTGATCTTCTAGAAGGCAAAGGTGATCTTGTTGAGTTTGTATTTACACTACTCAGTACCTAACCTGGCATTCAGGAGGCACTAGGTGAATATTGAATAAATGAGCAAATAAGTATGTAATAACTATGACAGGAAAATAAGGTGTAATGGAAATTTATAAAACATAGTATATTCATAATTAGGAACCCTCTTACTCCATACTTGCATTTTGATATCAATGCTTTACAAAGCTATTCATTCATTCAGCAAATATTTACTCATACCTTCTATGTTCCCAGGCATTAGTTGTCAGTACTAAGACTATAAGTCAAGAGGACTTGGATGCTTATCTTAGTTTCTTGCCACCCTGTGTGGGGAATGGGCATGAGAATGGCTAGTTTGAGGGCAGCATAGTGTGGGTACAGTGGCTGTAAGGACAGAGGTCTATGGGACAAGCCTGGGAAAGAGTAACCAGCCCAATTTGGGGTAGTCGGGAAGATTCCTTAGAGGATGGGACATTTAAAATGAGTCTGAAAAGAATGAGTTACTTCACTTGGGGAAGAAAATGAGAACAGGGACTCCAGCCCTAGAGAATCACATTTTCAGTGGCCTAAAAGTTGTGGAAGAGGGTGTTGTTGTGGTTGTGATCATCATCATAACAATAATGGCTGCTCACATGTATTGAGTCTACACTGGGTTCCAGGCACTATGTTACATGCAAAATCTCTAAGCAGAAGGATAACCTACCAGGAATACTCATGCCATTTATCCCCATATGTCCTCGGGTTGGATAGAATGTGTTTTATTATCCTCACTAAGAAATGAGAGACTTGAGATTCTGATTCCCTTTGTGCACTCATTAAACTGGTGTCTGAACAACCTAGCAAGTAACTTAGTAACCTAAGAACTTATTTTTTGTTTTCTTCATGAGATGCTTTATTTTCTCTTTAGCACTCATCACTATGTGGTGTACAAATAGATATATATTTATTCAACTTTGTACATATCTCTTTCTCACTAGAAGGTGAAATCTATGAGAGCAGGACTTTGTTTTGTCCACTGCTATATCCCAAGTATGCAGGATGCTCTCCGTAAATACTTGTGGAATGACAGAAGGACCTCATCAGGTTATTGCGTAGGATCATTGATGGAAAAACGGTGGTCAAGTGTTTTCTAACAAACACAGTGTATCTGATTTCTCATTTCCAGACAGCACAGTTTAACTGGGATCCAGAGACAGTGGGCCTTATCCATGGATCTTTTTTCTGGGGTTATATTGTGACACAAATTCCAGGCGGTTTCATTTCAAACAAGTTTGCTGCTAACAGGTAAGATAAACCGATATAAAATGAGTGCTATGTAGGTTATAATATGGCTTTGTACCTTTGTAAAACCTGCCTGGTCAGTCCTCAGTTTGCAGTGCAGAATGAAAAACAGGAGCCATCTCAATAGATGGGGTTCACAGGTATTGATCCCAAATGACCCTATTCTTAAGTGTCTCTTTTTTATTTACTTTTTCTTCTGCTTGAATTTACCTTGCAACTCTTTAAGCAATTATGTGCTAATAAGAGCAATTGACTCTGAATCAGGAGAAATGGTTCCTGGCCCCTAACTAGTTCACTGGGTAGCCTCTATCAAGTCACTTTCCCTCCTTTCCTGGGCCTCAGTTTCCTCATCTTTGAGATGAAACATTGGACTAAATTGTGTTTCAGTTCCCTCTGGCCAGTGATGTTCTGTAATCCTATGCACTTATGTTAATATTGCCCAGTACCAAAATGGTTTTGTCATATGAGTAGTAGGGGCTTGTGTCCAAATAGCAAGGTGTGTCTTTAATGTCCTTGAGACTCTATAGCAGGTGTTTGAACAATTGAAAGTGTCTGAGAACAGAATGAGCTGTCTCAAGGAGCAGTGAGTTCTCTGTTGCTAGAGGTATTCAAGCAAAAGAGAATGGCCACTTGGGGGAGATGTTGTAGAATGCATCATGTACCAAAAAAGGAGTGAACTAAATATCTCCAGGTCTCTTCCAGTTGTATTTCTCATAGGACATTACATAAATGGATTTTGTGAAGTGCATTACATTTTATAAAGCAGTGTTTTTCAAATTCTAAAACATAACTCATTTGATGGTTGTGAAATCAGTATAGTGATTTACCATTGAGTATTTAAAAAAAGAGAAAATAGAAGATAATCAAATAGAATAAAACTGAATCAAAAATATCTGAGTGCATTGCACTCAGAGAACTCTAAATATTGGTTTTTGAAACTTGTTTCAGTTACATTTGTGTCCATGAGTATCGGGCTGCAATGTAAAATATATTTTGTTTATGTGTCAAGGTCAAAAAGTTTGAAAGCTACTATCATAAGATCTAAATATGTATAAGCACAACTGTATTTACTTATGTTCTTGTCTAACTTGTGTCTTTTACTTATTGTTACTTACCTATTTTATTCTTTTTAAAAAGTGATAAAATATTGGCTGCTATGGTCTCCTTACTTAATGCTTACACCTCTGCCCTAAAACAAAATCGCATGTAATCTGATTTCCCAGCATGTAAAAAGGGCTGGAGCATCATTAGCGTGTGTGTGAAGGGGAGAACAGGCTGCCTGTGCTCTTGTCCCAGGACAATTTGGGCCAGGCAGGAAAGAGAAGGCCAGTGGCAGGTATACAACCTGCTTTGTGCTTGGCTGGTCCCCGGACACAAGATGCTTCTTCTTGGCTAGTCGGTATCCCTGTCTGGGAAACTGAGAGCAGCTCTGAGAAACAGTAGACACCACCTCAAATATGCAGAAGTCATGAGATTACAGGAAGGGTGTGTTGGGTGGAGCCGGGCAGAACGGTGGGTCTGCAGCAAGCTCACCTCAACCTGGTCAATCTCCAACCTTCCAGAACATCATCTGGGCAGGGCATCCATGTGCTGCCCAACATGTGTCCATCAATGGTCCAGAAACTGAAACTTGGGAATCAAAAGCAGCCCAAGAGTGCAGCTCAGGGCACACCAGACCCTAACACAACACTAACACAACATCTATTTCCCTAAATTAATTTCTATTAATTTCCGCAGGGAGCTATCACGAATTGTTAGGTTTGTTTCTGGTGTTTAAGTGTAGCGTCACATGCATCAGTGGGCCTGCCCAATAACACAGTGCTTCGGTCTCTCAGGGTCTTTGGAGCCGCCATCTTCCTAACATCGACTTTGAACATGTTCATTCCTTCTGCGGCCAGAGTGCATTACGGATGTGTCATGTGTGTCAGGATTTTGCAAGGTCTCGTGGAGGTAGGAGACGCTTTCCTTATAGTTTTCCATGTTGCCTGTGTAAAGAAGCAACAGCCATGTTTTAAACACAAACAGACACTGGAGTCAAATCTAATAATCTATTTTCAACCCTTCGGCCAGGGTGTGACCTACCCAGCCTGCCATGGGATGTGGAGTAAGTGGGCACCACCTTTGGAGAGAAGTCGACTGGCCACAACTTCTTTTTGTGGTAAGTGCATTAGAATTACAACAAGTTTTATTTAGGAATGCTTTCTTGGCTTCAAGTAACTGAAAACCCTACCAAGGGCCTTCAAAAGAGTCTTTTAGATAGATAGATAGATAGATAGATAGATAGATAGATAGATAGATAGATAGATAGATAGATAGATTTGGGGGTAAAAGTGCAATTTCATCACATGGATATAATGGGTAGTTGTGAATCTGGGCTTTTCAGTGTAACCATCACCTGAATAGTATACATTGTACCCATTAAGTATTTTTTCACCCCTCACTTTCCCTCCCACCCTCCCATCCTCTCTCACCCTTCCAAGTCTCTGATGTCTATTATTCCATTCTCTATGTCCATGTGTACGCATTATTTAGCTCCCACTTGTAAAAAAGGACATGCACTATTTGACTTTCTGTGTCTGAGTTATTTCACTTAAGATAATAGCCTTTAGTTCCATCTATGTTGCTGCAAAAGACATGATTTCATCCTCTTTTATGGCTTAGTAATATTCCATAGTGTATACATACCACATTATCTTTATCCACTCATTAGTCAATGGGCATTTAGGTTGATTCCATGTTTTTGCAATTGTGAATTGTGCAATTGTGAAAAACATTTGGGTACAGGTGTATTTTTGAGAAAATGACTTCTTTTCCTTTGGGTAGATAGATGCAAACAAATAACCACAGCAAAAAATGGGTCGAAGACATGAAGAGATGTTTTTTTCAAAAGAAGATAGACAAATAGCTAACAAACATGCTCAACATCCTAATTATCAGCAAAATGCAAATTAAAACCATAATGAGCTATCACCTTATCCCTGTCAGAGTGGCCATTAATAAAAAGTCAAAAAACAATAGATGTTGATGTGGATGCAGTGAAAAAGGAATTCTTTTACACCATTGGTGGGAATGTAAACTAATATAGCCTCTATAGAAAACATTATGGAGATTCCTCAAAGAACTAAAAGTAGACTTACCATTTGATCTGTCAATCCCACTATCTTCCAATCCAAGAGCATGGGATGTTTTTCCATTTGTTTATGTCCTCAATTATTTCTTTCATCAGTGTTTTTTAATGATCTTTCACCTCTTTGGGTAAGTAGTTTCCTAGGTTATTTGACTTTTTAATAACAGCCATTGTGATTGGTGTAAGAGAGTATCTCGTTGTAGTTTTAATTTTGCATTTCTCTGATGATTAGTGAGCATTTTTTTCATATGTTTGTTGGTGACTGCTGTGTCTTTAAAGAGGGTCTATTTTTTGTCACATTAGAGAATCCAAAGGTGAGTGGTTGCTGGTCCGGGTTCTGCTGCTCAGTGGTCTATCCAGGACCTAGGCATGTTCTGACTTTCTGCGCTACTGTCTTCAGGGTGGTAGCTTTTTACTCTCGTGCTTATTCTATGCCTCCCTTTCATCAGGAAAGCAAAAGCTTTCCCAAAGCTCCCTATCAGGCTTCCACTTAAATTTCCTTGGCCCTAATTGGTCATGTGTTTTACTGACTGCATAGGAGGCTAAGAAAGCAAGTGCCTCACTTCTGCAGCCTCTTTGGAGAGAAGGGGAAGAGAAAAAAGGGTTGGAAGTGATTGTTGGGTTAGCCAACAGATGAGATTTGCCAAGGGCAAAAATGGAGAAGATGGGCTTCTCAAGCTCCCCTCTCCTCTTCTTTTTATATGAAAACTAAAGTTCAATGACTTGCCCAAGGTCACAGAGCTAGAGCAAGACCACCTGATTTTTGATCTGGAACTAGCCTTACTACATACTACTGCCCCGTACACATTGTCATACAACATTTTGATTAATTTTTGCCATTATATTCCAGATAAATATGAAATGGAGGCCATCAATCTTACCTGAAAGTAAATGAGAGGCCCCCACGTAATGATGTGACTTTAATTCCTGCATCTCCAAACTTCACCTTGCTAAGGCTGCCTTGCTCCAAGCTAACCCTTTGACACTGGCCTCTCTAGGTGTGTTCTGAAGGGTTCACTTAGCTACCAATCAACAATAGCAAAACGACAACTCACGCTGCTGCCATGAACACAGTTGTAAAATACATTTACATTTTTTTTTTTTTTTTAATGAGGAAAGGGGTCCCCAATCCCAGGCCGTGGACCAGTAGTGGTCTATGTCCTGTTAGGAACTGGGCTGCAGAGCCAGAGCCACCTCATTACCCAGCTCCGCCTACCGTCCCCTCTCCACCAAAGTGGAAAAATTATCGTCCATGGAATTTCCAACTGGGCCACATAGTAGGAGGTGAGCAGTGGGCAAGAGAAGGAAGCTTCATCTCTATTTACTGCCACTCCCCATGGCTGGCATCAGTGCCTGAGATCCACCTTCCCACCCCATACCCTCCCTCCCTGTCCATGGAAAAATTGTCTTCCATGAAACAGAAAAAGTCCCTGGTGCTAAAAAGGTTGGGGACTGCTGCTTTAGGCCACAAAAGTCACAATGTGGCCTGAGCCGTTTAAGGACTGGAACTTAGGTCTGTCGGATCTTTCAAGCCTGCAGGCCTTTCCTAAGATAAGCTAACCTGTACTTCTTTGCTAATGGAAGAAATAAAGTTTCTTCTTTATTTCTGTGGATGTTTTTATATATCTCTTCTTACTCTCCCTTTACCTTCTTTAAATAATAATAATAGCAAGATATTCCTGGGAGTTTGGCGTGAAATGTTCACTAATGTGCCTATTTTGTTCCTAGCTTGGCATTGCATGCACTACTGAGATGTCTTTACTTCCTTAGCCTCTCTTGTCCTTAGAAACCATCTCTGGCCTCCCGTTTGCAGTTCAAGAGTATCTCCACCCCCTACCGCTGCACTAACACCAGCTCTAGCAGAGGATAAGACTCTACCCCAGTTGACTTTGTGGATTGTTAGATCCTTAACCTTGCTTACTTTGGATGGTTTATTTGTTGTAAGCCCTTTCATTTTGATTTGCCAGCAAAATGAGAATGACAAGCTGCCACTCCCCATTCTTAGTGTGTCTTTATAGCCCTAAAAGGGCTGATTTAAGAAATGGTTTGACTCTTAGGGAAAGTTACCTGATCAAGGACACAGGCCTTATTACACTTTCCAGCTAAGGCGTGGCCTTGGTTTCAAAGAACAGCCAAGGGCAAATGTCGTTAAAGAACACCCAGGCTTGGGGCTAATCAATTCTTAATCTCAAAAGGTACTGGGATTTGAAGGGTAGGGGCATCCCATTGTTTTATAGTTGAGGACTCTAAAGCTCAGGGAAGAAAGAAAGATTTAAATTCTCACAGCTAGTGGACCCTTTCCTTCCCCAATTCTGCTGCCCCCCTCCCCACACCATTCGGTAATTATCTGGGGGCCCAGGGATCTGAGGTTCAGCCTGGGAGCAGCCAGGGGCAGCGCTGCTGAGTGCCCTGTTGGGGTCTGCTCAAGGGGCTGGGGGTGAGAGGAGCCGATATTAGGGCCATGTCTGAAAGGACGAGGAAGAATTTTCCTGATAGGGAGAAGGGCCGATTAGGTCATGCTGTAAAGTTTCTCTGGTGAAAGAATGCTTCTTGCTATGGGGAATTATTGGAGTTTTTTTGGTTGAGGGGGCCGGGCTTGATTTTTTAATTTTGGTTAGGGGTTTTGGGGGCCCCCGGCCTTGGGCCCTTGCCGGGGGGCCTTTTCCTTTTATTCCTTTTTTGCCTTCGGGCATTTCTTTCTTTCCCTTGTTTTTCTTTTTTCTTTTTAAATTGGGGTTATTTTTGTTCCTTCCTTCCCCGGTTGGGGAGGGTTAAATAAAGTCATGAGTACGGAATACTTAGCACAGTGCTTGGCACCCAGAAAGCACTAATGCATTCGTAGGTGGCGGTGGTTTTTCTCTTACCCTGTCTCAGGCATTCCTTTGCATCACCTAAAACAGACCCCTCCCAGCCCTCCACCTCCCACTCTCAGAGTACTTGGCCTGGCGAAGAAGACCCCTTCTTGGCTCCCACGGCAGCCAGACTCACAGTCTGTTCTAAACATGCGCCCTGGAGAGCTTGCCTTATTGGTTTGAGGAATTCTGAGTTTTGTTATTTTTTTCAAAGTGCTTTGTCATTCTGTAGATAATAATGGCATTTGTGTGACCCTTTATAGCTTACAAAGCATCTTCACCTACATAGTTTATTTCACCCTTAAAACAACAGCACGAGATAGATATTTCATTTCCCATCTTATCTCTGAAGAAAATGAGTCCCTTGACTTCCTCAGGTGTCATGATGTTCAGATTCCAGAGTCCATGTCGGACCTTTCACGGAGGGTCAGGCCCAGGTTGGAAAGATGTGACTTAACCTATTTCTCTGGAAGAGCCCCAAACTCCCCTTTCTTAAAGATCTTCCTTAGCAGTCAGTGGCTTCTGGGTTACAGAATTTGCTTTCATCTGTCACTTTTTATGAAGCAAGAATTTTGTCATTCATTCCGGGGTTGGAGGGAAGGTGGGGAATTTCAGATAGTCGCTTTTCAGTTCAGTTAATATTTATTGGGAGTTTGCAGGGCTCATGTTTCCCTACCAGATATATCGTGCAGCTGCAAAGGATGGTGGAGGTCAGGTCACTGCCTCTAGCCCTCATTATCTTGTCTAGACAAGATAAACATTCATGCACAGGTAAGTATTTACAAAGTATTTACAAAGTAAGAAATAACCTTAAAAATATACCCATCCTGGAAGTGAATGGAGACAGCAGTCTTTCTGCTATCCTGGACAGAAAAAATTGTTTCCCAATTTTTTTTATGTCAAGACAATAAAAAGCATGATCCTTTTAATAGTTTCATGTCACTCATTTAAAGGCCTAGGTGAAAATCCTCTGAACGGTGAGCTTTGAAAGGCAGATGCCACATGTTCCTTGGCTCGCTATCCTCAGCACCCAATATTGTGCCTGGTTGAATTTTCAAAATTTCTCTTCGATTTTGCTCATCTTCTGCTTCCGTTCTCTCATGCAGTTCCAAATTGTGCTGCCTGAACAATCTTTGTCTAATCCCTCCATGGTCGCTGGATGAAGTTAAAAGGGCATCCTGTAGACCGTCATCTCCTACAAGCCCTGTTTTAAGGCACATCATCGAGAGTTTGTCTGTCTCTGCACAGAGGCAGTCTGACTCCTGCTCAGTTGGCTTTGTGTCTGAATTTGCCGCATAGACTCTAAATGGGCTGAAAAGCTTGCACGGTGATCAGTAAATTTCCCTCAATCTTTTCTCATTCCAGGTTCCTATGCGGGGGCCGTGGTTGCCATGCCCCTAGCTGGGGTGTTGGTGCAGTACATTGGGTGGTCCTCGGTCTTTTATATTTATGGTGAGTGATTTGACTTCATGAGTTCTCATGGTGACTCATAGAGATGGTATTTTACCATATAAGTGTTTGGCTAAGAGTTTGTTACATGAAAATGGAAATTTCCAGGACAAATTTATCACATAATGGAATATTTGTCTACTCGTGATTCATTTAATGTTTATATTAAAGTTGACTTTTTTTTTTTACAACAAGCAGAAGATTATCTTTCTGTAAATACAAGTTAGCACCAGGAAAATCAACAAAATACTTTTTCCTAGCTGAAATATTGTCATTTGGGAATACTATAAAAATTGAAAAATTTCAAGATGGAAGAAAATGAAACTGTATCATCAACTTTTTTTTTTTTTTTTTTAAACTTCAGGTATGTTTGGGATTATTTGGTACATGTTTTGGCTGTTGCAGGCCTATGAGTGTCCAGCGGCTCATCCAACAATATCCAATGAGGAAAGGACCTACATAGAGACAACCATAGGAGAAGGCGCCAACTTGGTTAGTCTAAGTGTAAGTATAAATGGATGGATAGAGACTTGCCTCTTTTTTGTAAGTATTTCTCTTAGTGACTGTGCTGCCCTCTTCCAAGAAAAAGATGTCAATATCTTCACTAAAAATCTCATGGTATTTTTACTCCCTAGAAATTCAATACTCCATGGAAAAGATTTTTCACATCATTGCCGGTTTATGCAATCATTGTGGCAAATTTCTGCAGAAGCTGGACCTTTTATTTGCTCTTAATAAGTCAGCCTGCTTATTTTGAAGAGGTCTTTGGATTTGCAATAAGTAAGGTAAACACACAGATGCTTCAAATAGTCTTGAACTTTAAATCTCTTGATTCTACCATGAATATCTTTGTGTAATAAAATAATTAAATTGCTGATCATAATTGATAAGAGTTCTAGAACACCTACTAGCCTGGAGGTCAGACAAGTTATACATTCTTTGCATAGTATATATACATAGCTATTTAATTTCTTCTTAGTAGGGATCAGAGCTGTATTAAGCTGCTTTTAAAGATTTATGTTTTACCCAACCTCAAAGTATTTTTGAAGCTAACTCAAGGACTGTATATTAGGCAAGGATAAAAAGATTTGAGGGTGAGCATTTTCTTTTTTTCCTATAAACTACTTAGTGAATAGATCCTTCCAGCTAATTTTGCAGACCACCCCTCTTTCCATAAAGGCGGTGAGAGCACTGACCATTGCTTGTATGGTTTAGAAAGAAACTCTGGTATTGTCATTAGGGTGTCTGTGTTTTAGGGAAGCAGGGTTTGGATGGTAAAACATAAATCATCACCATCAAAGAATTAAGCCTCCTTCCTTCAAGGGAAAGAGCAGCAGCTGAGCAGACGCAGATTTCTGCCACAGGTACTGTCAGAAGTGACCAGGGAAGAGCTGGCATGGTCAGGTGATGTGTCTGCCATCAGTGGGCACTCACTGGGTGCCAAGTGTTTTGCCTACCACGTGCCATGCTCTGTGTTGGCCACTGGGGTCTCTGGGATGCATCAACGTCATCTCTGCTCAAGGAGTTTCCATTCAGCAAAACACATACTTTCATTGGTTACAGAAAATAAAAAAAAGAAAAAGGTAAAGAATGATTTTAAGAATAATTTAAAATTAAAAATAAATGGAGTTTCCAATTTGGTAGATGAGACAGATAGGACTAAAGTCCTTCACTTATTCATTGTTTATTTAAGACAGATAAATCACTTAAAATCATTCGCTTATTCATCATTTATTTATTACAATATTCAGGCCTCCCTGGATCCCACATAATTAAATTTGGGGGTGGTAGGGGGGCCGTGGAGTGGGGTGGGAATTAGGGAGACCCCCCTGTCTCAGTAGTAGTGACAAATAGCTCATTGTTTCTTTTTCTTCCAGGTGGGTCTCTTGTCAGCCGTCCCACACATGGTCATGACAATCATCGTGCCTATTGGAGGACAACTGGCTGATTATTTAAGAAGCAGAAAAATTTTGACCACAACTGCTGTCAGAAAAATCATGAACTGTGGAGGTACTGTGGATTGCCTAGGCGGCGTAAGCAGCTTTTGTAGAATTAGAGTAAATGCAAGTGCAGAGCATATTTTAGAGCTGATGTCTAATCATTGGGGTCCATGTTAAAGACCCTAAAGTCCATCCCCCAGGGGCCACCCAGCCTGCACTTGGGCAACCTGAGATGTGACAACTTGCTTAGTTGATGGCTGATAAATCAGGACACACCTACGACTGCAGAAATGTTCCTTTCACCTTCTCTGAGGCCAAAACAACATAATTTTCAGTTACATATCTGTTTATTATGTATCCTTTCCATATGTCCTTCTGCATTTAATATTTGCTTGTGTCATTTATTCCCTTTTTTCCTTCTTCTCTTTCTACCTATCTATAGGTAAGAAACAGAAGAAAAATATTTTCTCTGAATAGTCTTCTTTCCTCCCCACCCCTGCTTGTGCATGGGGTGCACACATACACTCCCCCCCCCATTCTCTTTGCTGGTTTATTTAGTTCCTGCTTTAAGTTTTAGTTTTGTAAAGACAAAGTGGACATTAGGTGATTCCCCCAAGAGGTAGGTGAAAGTAAATGGGAACCCCTGTGATGTTCATGACAGCTTACCTTTTCTAACTCCTCCATGTTATTATCTTTTAAAATTAGCATTTATTGAACGTTTTCTGTGCCAGACTCTAAGTTAAGTCTTTTACATACATTATCTCATTTAATCCTCATACCCATCATACCCTCATACCCATAATAGTACTATTACTATTAATATATGCAATATGCAGTGAGGAAACGGAAGTAAAATAAAGTGACTTGCTCAAGCGACAGATCTCTGCAAGATTATCAGGTCTGTCTGAGTCCGCTGCCAATGCCCTTAGTCACTCTTTGCTGCTACCTCTGGAGTTGGCTCTAGCCAGTAGGAAGTAGAGGATAGCGCCGCCTGTAGGCAAGAGTCACAGCTGTGATATTAACTTGAAAAGGAGGGAATGAGGCTCTGCATCCAGATGACATAGGTTAGGTCACCATTTAGAAATGAAGACTATATGGAGGGACACAGGAGCAGGTGTGATGTGATTCCACAGCATTTTGGGAGTAAAGTCTGATCAGTGAGACCGGGAACAGTCTGTCGGCTCCTGTTCTCCCAGCAGCTTGACTGCAGTCCCAGGCAGGGATGTTGGGGCCTGCCCTTAGCTTGAGTTTCTGTGTAGGAGTCTGAAGGTTGGCAGATGCAGGCCTGCTCTCTGGTGGCAGGAGGTGAAGCTCTGGGACATTGCATTCAGGTCTTCTCCAAGGTAGCTGTCATAGGCAGAATAATGTCCACGTCCTGATCCTCACAACCTGGATATATCAAAAGGGACTTTGCAGATGTGATGAAATTGAGATTCTGGAGGTGGGGAGATTATCTTGCATTACCTGGGTGGAATCACAAGGGTTCTTATAAGAGGAGGAAGGAGGGTCAGAGTTAGGGAAGGAGATGTGACAGTGGAAGCAGGAGTCAGAGTGCTGCAGCCACAAGCCAAGAAATGCAAGCAGACTCTAGGAAGCTGGAAAAGTCAAGAATGCAGCCTCAAGACTGAAGGCACTTCTGCAGACTGACACCTCGATTTTGCCTTGTAGGATCCATTTTGCACTTCTGGCTTCTAGATCTGCACAATAATAAATTTGTGTTGTTTTGAGCCACTAAGTTTGTGGTAATTTGTTACAGCAGCAATTGAAAACTGATGCAGTAACCAAAGCCTCCCTCACTCCTCTAATTATCAAATTCTGCTCCAGCTGAATAGCTCTCTGCCCCAGGCCCTGAATATATCTTTTTGTCTCTGATTTTGTTCATTCCCTTTCTCTTTACTGTGAGTTTCACTCACCCTCACCTCTCACCCCAGTTCTCTCCACGTATCCTTTCTCATACTCTCAAATTGACTCCTCTTGCGTTTCTTTACAGCCATGTCATTCTCCAGTGATCCCTCTGAATTTGTCCACATGACTTGGTTGGCAACTCATCATGTGCTACCTTATCACAGCTCCCTCGGGAAAATGTTTTGGGCAGAAGGAATAGCATGTGCAATGGCCCTGAGGCAGGCACAGATGTTGCACATTTGAGAACAGAAGGAAGGCGAGCCACATGCTTGAGTGGAGTGGAAAGTGTTAGGAGATAGGATCAGAATACTGGGGTCAGATCATGGCAGGCCTGGCTGACATATGCAGAGCGTGGGTTTTGTTTGAAGTGCATTGGGAAGCAAATGGTTTAAAGCAGAGGAAAAAAACCCCATGATCCATATTTCCAAATCTGGAGAATGGAATTCAGGGCGGAAGAGTAAAAGAAAGGAGGCCAGGTAGGAGGCTGTTTCAGTTGTCCTGTCAAGTGAGGATAGTGGCTTGAACTTAACTGGTGGCAGTGGAGTTGAGAAAGATGGGTAGATTTCTAAATTCTCCAAGCCAACTTTCCTCTTCTTTAACATCCAAATAATAATATTTACTTCAGATGTTACTTATGAGAGTTAAATGAAACAATGTATAAATGCACCTACCATGGTGCCCAACCTATAGAAGGGTCTCATGAATGTGAATGCCTTTTTTCTTCTCCTGTGTTCAAGACACTGAAAAAACTCAGAGGTTTTCCAAAGAAGGTATTCAACAAATATCTGCTATTCAATTATATTTCCCTTGACAAAAAAAAAAAAAAAAAAGCAATTTTAAACCAGCAACTTGAAAGAAAGTTCTGGATTTAAACACTATTTGCACAACCTCTTCTAACCCAGATGCCTTGAAGATTCTTGAACACATTTTGTGGGGATGCCTTGTTCATATGTCATCTGCTCCATTGTTTCTCCCTAACTGGTAGATGGTGTTGGGGGGTGGTGATGAGAAACCTCAAAGATCTTTAATTGCTAACAAAGTGCCTGTTGAGAGCAAATCTTTTTTTCTGCAGAAACAAGAATACATATGTGGAATCTCCCCAGCCCTTCTCCTATCTTTTAAAAATACCTCTTCACATGCCTCTTAATGTTGTTTAATATTTTGACATAGTAGGACCAGTGAGCCCTACAAAGAAAATTAAAAAGGAAAAAAACACCACATCAACCCATGTTGTCTGCTTAAATACAGAGGTGCTAGACCAGAGGTAACTACGTGAAAATGAATTTTGTGCCATTGCTGAAGAATGCAGATTGATTTAGAAATAGCAAGGCACTTGCCCTTTTCTTCTAGAAAATTTTAGTTGGCTTCATATGTCCTAAGAAAAACTACAAAGGACATTTTCCATCTGAGAAGGCTCACACATCTGTTGGAACCAGTCACGTTCTTCTTTTCTTCTCCATAGATAAGGGATCTGTGCTATCACAATCATTTAAAGCAAATAGATCACCTTAAGACGTGATGTTTCGTCCCAGTTCATTGAGAAACAGGGCACATTTCCCAGATGCTCAAAGACAGATGCCAAATTCTTGCATTTCCCTCTATAGTAAGTGCAAAGTGTGACTGAAGTAAAAAAAATTGTAGTCTGGTTGAATCAGTTGCCTGTGTGAACTTTAGACTGTTTTAATACGAAATGAAATTTTTCTTAGTCCTAATTTAGATCCTAGTTTTGTTTCTCTTGGCAGCTCTGAACAGGTTCACTTTCAAGGATCTCTTGATTACCCCTAAAGTTTAAATTTTACCCTTAAGCTCTTGACATACAATGCTATCTCTAGGACCTTACCTGTTGGTAGAAACCATTTAGGTTCTTAAATGCTTTTTCTTCTTTTGGCAATTGGCCAAGATCATTTTTTTTCTTATAGATGAACTCATCATTTGTAAGTTTGATTCTTTACACAATGTCTTCATTCTAATTCTTTGCGGGGAATTAACTTTCTGTACAACCTTTGTTGAGAGTGTTAAAATAAGTTTCAGCGAGATGCCTTGTTATTTGAGACAGGCCACTCTGAAAACACTTAGAATCAGTATATAAAACACTAGCGATTTTCCCCTATATATAATTTAAAACATTGAAACAAAATTAAGAATGAGTAGCCATGGTATAAAGCCCACAGTTTTAAAAGCAGTACTGCTTCCCTTATTTCATTTGATCCTCTTTGGATGTCAGCATGTGAAACAGCATGTGAAAATATGTCCAGGAATGAGAAAATGTGTGTGATTAAGAAACAGCTCATAGAGCTGTGTGTCCACAACCCAGAGGGCTGTGTACAGGATGGGGAGGAGAGCAGAAGGATGAGCACTGGTAGGAGATGAAGCAGGAACAGCAGGAGGGATGTACTACACTCTACTAATGATGTGGAGTGAGCCCTTAACAAGAGCTTTTCACAAAGGAGCGACTAATCAGGTCATGTGGTTTAGAGAGACTGGTGTGGTGAATGGATGGGAGGAAGACGAGAGGGGAAGACCACCAAAGAAGCTATTGTAGTGTCCTGGTGAGAGATCGCAGGGCCAGGGCTCAGGCAGTGGCAGGGGAGGGGGAAGTGGAAGTTGGACTGGACAGGTATTTCTGACTTTTATGTGAAAGCTGGGGAAGAAGGAGACGTCCAAGATGATTATAAATTTCCGCACTGGACTTCTGGCCACCATGTGTTGAGCTGTGCCTATGTGCCCCACTCAATATCTTATATACCCAATGCCATTGCATCTTCCAATGTCCTACAATGTCGTAGTATTATCTCTATTTTGGGGGGGACAAAGAATCTAAGAGGTGAAGTAACTTGTTCAAGATTACACAATTAGTGATTTTGAGGTAGAATCTGTACCCATGCCTGTCTGACTCTCTGCTAAACGGTGGGTTCTAAAACACATGTGGATAGAAGATTAATTTAGAGAAGAAGAAAGTGCCTGGTGGTGGTTTGGTTTGTTTTGGGGGTGAAAAAAATAGGGGAACAGAAATTTGATTTGGGCATGTCGCCTTTGAGGTAACTGTAGGACAGTCGTGTGGAAATGTCTGGAATCAGCACACAGTCTCTAAATGAAGCACCACTAATTGCCTCCCTCCTCCCAGGGCATGACATATACTTGGAAATAGTAGTTATATCATCTTTC